AGCTTTCGTGACTGCAGGGATTCATATTCTTGGTTCTTTCGGTAAAGTCACGTAGAAGGGAAACAATAAAATAATAAGAATATAAAACAATACAATTCTCACGACGTTTCGACTGCAACACAAGCAATCATCATCATCAGGTGTGAAAACCACAGCAAGAAAATTTGAAAAAAGTGGCGTTTTTTTATTTGGTGCTAACGTTAAAAAAACCGCCACTTTTTTCAAAATTTCTTGCTGTGGTTTTCACACCTGATGATGATTGCTTTTGTTGCAGTCGAAACGTCGTTAGAATCTTATTGTTTTATATTCTTATTATTTTATTGTTTCCCTTCTACGTGACTCTACCGAAAGAACCAATAATATGTCTACCTCCAGTTGAGGTCTGCCGCAGTGGCGTGAGCAAGCACTTGCAGGGCCGCGCCTTTACCTTTAACATATTTTTTTTGCATATTCCAGTAAGCCGCACACAACTGGAAGGCAATGACATTCTCCATGAAATTTAAACAAAATTAAAGCTTCGCCGATATAGGGGTCATTATATCGCTGTCATACACGTTTGTGATAAGTACGAGATGATCTGCCCGGTAACGGCGCAATGGGCAACTCCACTAATTACGAGTGGCGGTGATTGGCACCTCCTGCCCGCGAGAGACACTTCTCATCGGCGGAACAAAAAAACATTCTCCGTGACTGTCCGCGAACACTTTGAGCAGCGAGAGGCGTGCGTGACCGAGGAATGAAATGTCATTAACTGCAATTTGCTTTGGTGCAAAGGCAGAGAGCTGTGAGATGTTGAGACATGCCCCCCCCGCCCGTCCCATTCCTCCACAGCCGCTTCCCACTCCCCCCCTCCCCTCGTCACGTCGACAGAGTCCTGAGCAGCAAGGTCACAACTTTGCATGCGGTGGTCAGAGCAACGTCGTTCGATAGCTGCAAGTCCAACACTTGCTCGGAGTTAAATTCGAATTGCGGGGTCTCACGCGAGCGACGTTTGGGTGTCTGCACGGTGAGAATCTCTCCCCGCCATTAATACGGCACCGCCAATCGCTGTGTGAGTGCGTTGGTGGAGCGGTAGTGTAGCGGTTAGCGCACTGCGCTATGAACTCGACGACCCGAATTCGATTCCCGCACACAGCTAACATCAGTGACGACTGTTTAAACCGGTCATGGGCCTGCCCGAGGTCAACTAGGTCTCAAATGAATACCTGGTGCGCTGTGCGAACATCGCCACTAGGTAGACAAAGGCGGCCGGGCGTGGTGTTAGCCACCCACCCCTTCGTGTGCCTTCCCGGCCTTCATAGGTGCTCGCTAAGAGCACTTGCCCCAACAGTCTGTGAAAGGCTGCGCGGGGGGACCGGATTTGTCTTTGCCTCTTTACCGCGAGCAAATGAATGATCTATTCCCCGCGTCTCCAGTGCGGCAGTTGTCGCGAGGTCGGGGAACTGGGGCCGAGGCGGAGCGAGCCGCGATTGGATCGGACGCCGTGCTCGAGTCGAGCAGCAACTTCACCTTCTCAAATAAATCAGAGGAACGTAAAATTGCAAATTAGAAAAGCTGAGAGAGAACATCGCCGATCTCATTCCCCTGAACGCAACCTCGAATATGGTTGCGCGCGTCTGAGCGCATTGGTCAGATGGATACATTATAAGCGCCAAGGGTTGGTTACATTTCACTCGTTTCGAAATTTTAAGCCATATATATTTATAATGCAGAAAATGTAACCGAGTCGACGTGCAACAGCTGCCTGTGAATGGGACGGTGTTGTGTAGGGGTTTTTTTCTGACTGGTGCTGATCAGAACTGGGTCCCTCTGGAAGGGAAACTTCGTGGCACGAGCCGCTGGAACGTAACGGCGGTAATGAGAATCGCCACGCTGCTCACCCAGCAGGGCTGCAATGAGTCTCGGGGATAGAGTTCACGAGAGTCTTTGTGTGTGTGTTATGTTTGATACAAAATACACAATACCGTAACAAAGACAGTACACATACAAGAGAATGTCAACGTGAAATGGATAACGTTGTCAGCAACTCACTTTCCGTACTGCCCCATCTCCATCTCAATGTCTGTATGAATCGCCAGTTCCCGATTCTCATGGCCCTCTTGCCACGATAGGTGGTAGGGTGAACACATTTTTGTAGGGTAGGAGCAGTGAGGCGGGGGGGGTAGGGTGAATACAACATTTTGTTAGATTAAAACATTTGTTTAAAATGACATCTAATTTATTTTAAAATGTATGTCTGGAAATGAGAGAGTTCAAGATGTTGCCACTCGCCAACCACGTGGCAAACCCGACGGGTCACCGGTCACGCCGGCCTGCCACGTGCTCCGCCAGTTGCCCGTGACCTTGTGACCTTGTGCGCCGAGTCCGGCTTCGAGGGGGCCGCGGGGCACGCGGGAGGGGGCGGTGGGGGTTGCGATGCGGGCTGCGCGTGATTCACGTACGCCGGTGAATAGATGGAGGAGGCTAAGGAAAACCCGCTACGCTCTCGCCATCCGCTAGCCACGATTACCAGCGAGGTTCCTCGTGTCGGCGGGCACTATCGCGGCCGGAATACAAATCGCAACGAATCTCCATCCTCCCGGCGGGCGGGCGCGTGCGGTGGGGGGGGGGTGTTAGGAGGGGGCGGGGGTACGTGGAGGATGCGGCTGCTGCCGTGGCCTCGTGGTTTCGCGCTGACTGCCTCTGCCGAGGAGGCTGCGTCCTTCCGCCCAGTGAGCAATGCGGCGCGGTGGAGATTCTTTAAAGTGCCCGCAGAAAAAGTCTGTCTGATGTGCGTGCAGACCTCATCGCATTCTCCAGACTATAAAACACTTCTAAAAGTAAGACTCACCCCACCCAGACCTGTGGTCCATGTGAACAAAGTCGTAACAATATGGTCAAACGACAAAGGGAAATGTCGCCCGTATAGCCTTAGATTGTTGGGGCAAGTGCTGTTAGCGAACACCTATGAAGGCTAGCACGTCACACGAGGGAGGTGGGTGGCCAGAACCACTCCCGACCTCCTTTGTCTCCCTAGTGGCAATGTTTACACACCACACCGCACCATTTGAGAACGAGCCGACCTAGGGAGAGGCCCAGAACCAGTTCAGATAATTGTCACCGGCGTTGGCCGTGAGCGGGAATCGAACTCGGGTCGTCGGGTTCGTAGCGCGATGCGCCAACCACTACTCCACCGCTCCCCGAATCTAGTCACACAAGCACATACCAAATTGTAAAACGCATCTCCATCTTTTGCTTTAAAATACAGGGAGCGGAGGCTAACGGTTAATCTTCCACTCCGCAGAAGGCGTGTTGTGTTATGTGCAACCTTCAAACATGGGTTGGCGCGTGTGTGTGTGGCCAGGTTTTCTCCTGGGGTTTATAATGGCCATGTCAGAGACCCGGAGTCAGCACCGTTGGGATTGAATCCCCGTTGCAGTCGCTGCTCGCGATTTAACAGAGGACGATCGAGCGTAGCGAGCTGATGACTCGGCTCGGTCGCCAGCGATGGCACACGAGACCCGTCCTCATTAGGCGTGGATTTTCGCTGAATCTGGCCCAATTGCAGCTCAACATTGTGACCGGCCCCTCCGTGACAGGGCTCGTAGGGCGGCGAGACACGCAGTGCGACTCGGAGCAATCTAAAGGGACCACAAGAAGTGGTCGCGGTGGCATCTAACTTGGTCGCGGTGACACGAGGCGATGTCACCGCCGCTCGCTGCGAGGCTCCAAGTACAAATGTCTTTTGACTTTAGGCTCGGAGCACAGTTGGAATATAATAAGTATTACTCTTTGGTTCTTTCGGTAAAGTCACGTAGGTAGAAAAATAAAACAATTTTTTTTCTACCTACGTGACTTTACCGAAAGAGTATGGATTCCTGCAGTCACGAAAGCTTCAAATCAAAATAATAAGTATTATTATAATTTATAGTCGTGTATCAACGCACTGCTGGATGATGGCCTCCCCACATTCTGTCGGTCATGGGGGTGGTTTGCCTGTACTTCACCGTGGCTCGTCAGTACGGGTTGGTGAAGAGGAGGGAACCAGGTCTGGTTCAGATATCACTCGCCACTGATGTTAGCCGTGGGTGGGGAAATTGAAGTCGGGTCACCGGGTTTATGGCGCAGTTTTTGTCAAATCTCGCCAAAGAGACGCAGAAACTGGGCCAGCGTGCGGGCGTGTGAGCCACAGGCCACGATTCCCAACACAAACGTACGAACGTCCTCCGTCTCCGCATGATCCCTACCGGCTATCAGACAGCTCGCGTGTCTGAACACATGCCCCCGCACGACAATACCCACGTTTAACGAAAAGCACGTGGCCTTCAGCACGTGGCTCTCTCTGAACAGAAACAATCCGAAGCACTCTCTTCAGTAAATATCACATTAGAATGTGTCCCTTACAAAGAAACACAATCTTCCACCATCCGTTATCCGCCACCCCGTTCCACCCCCCCCCACCAAAAACATCGTCCCCTCCTCGACGTCCGACCTCCCGCCGGCACAGCCCGCGGCTCATCAGCGTAACGAGGGGGCGCCCACCCAGGCGTCGGCTTCAATCAGCGCCGCAGTGGCCACGGTGGCGTCGAGTCGACGCAGTTCCACTGCGGGGGCGCGCGCGCGAGTTCCGTGACGGCGCTGGTGGAGGCGCCGACCGCTGGCCCCGGCAGCCACGCGGCTTCCCAACCTCACGACGCTCGCTCGCTCGCTCCCACAATTCTGGAATATTCCCCGCTTGGCTCGTTGGGCCACCACTCCACCACCCCACCCCCCCCCCCCCCCCCCCCATGTCTGCATTCAGGACCGGGTTTTTAAAACGTGGAGTTATTTATCGAGCGGCCTCGATAATGACGACGCGAGGTGTCGATTTGTCGATTCGTCGTCTGTTGTACGGCAGCAGGGAAAGTCACCGGTGTTGGAACGCGTTCGAGTCGAACGCTCGGGCTCGTCGACGAAGCCAAGGAGGCGATAGGCGACGCTGCGTGGATCGCAACAAGAACAAGAGCAGCAACAGCAGCAGCAGCAGCGTCTTCTGCTCGCGGCCTCCCCTGCCACTGCAGAAAGCACAAACCACGTCAACAACTCGCCGGCCGAATGTTCAACAAGGGATGTCCGCGCCTTGCTGAGCAACAGTGAGCACGGGGCCCTTCTCCCCAGGGCCAACGCGATGTGAACGTCGGCCCTCGACGCCGCGAACGATGCAGACGAACAACGAGTGGGTGCATCACTGGTGCAACATGCGTTTTTTTGTCGATTCCGTTGTGAGTGCTAACGCACGCACTGCAAAGCTGGCTACCCACGTTCGATTCCCGTTCACGGCCAAAGCCGATGATGATTCTCTGAACCGTTCCTGAGCCCCTACTAGGTCGACTCGGCCTCCAATGTGATACCTCGTGCGGCGTGTAAACATCGCCACTGAGGAGACAAAGGCGGCCAGGCGGAGTGCTGTCCGCACTCGCTTGTGATGCCGTGGTGGCCTTAGGTGCTACTCGCTAACAACATTTGCCCCAAAAGACTGTTGAGGCTACACGGGGGGTCTTTGTCTTTGTATGGGGGATGCACAATGAAGGTGCGCTGTATGGAGATGATAATGCTGCTTATGATGCATTTGGGCTGGAATGAAATGAAGCAGCCAGAACAGCTAAGGCAGTAGAAATGATAATACAAACGAGATGAGAAACACGGAGATAAGAAAATATATAATGCTTCAATCAAATTGCGCCTCCGAATCTTCATAAGTCGTACACACGCGTGCAGTATGTGTATGTACAGGGGAATGTAGCGGGTAATATTTGTAGAAACAAGACGAAACAAGAAAAATACGCAAGACAAAGCACACCGTGAAGAGACTTCCGTTTTGCGGACATCGATGAGTGACGTCGTGAAGGGTTCTAGTTCTGCTCGGTGTTTTATGCTATGAGATTGTCATTGTTGTCAACGGGATAATATTCAAGATCACTCGTTGAATGGAGCAGGATTAATGCTCACGAGTGAGAAAATTGTATACTCCCAAGACTCAGCCCATCACCACCCCCGAGTCGGTAAACTCACTCCAACTTTGTAAAAAGCCCCAAACTGAATTTTCTCTGGAGGTGCCTCATCCTGTACAGCCAGGGCCGCCCCTAGGGGCTGCGGGGCCCGGAGCAAATCCCACCGTGCCCCCTTCCCCCCCGACTTCAGACTCAACCTGAAGTATTACATCTGACAATGACGTTGAAGCGCGCCCCCCCCCCCAAACACAGGGCCCGGGGCGCTCGCCCCGATTCGCCATACCCTCGGGATGACTCTGCGTACAGTCCAGTTCTTTTTGTCTCTCCACTGCTGGATGAGAGGTTCCCCACGCGGTGCGCGTGGCGACGGGGAGTTAGTTGACCATACTTCACCCGTACGTGACATTACCGCCAATGTCTCTGGACCACCAACAGAGATGAGTTGAGCAGGGAGCCAAGGTCACTTGAATCCTTTAGACGGCCCCGCTCTTGCCTCTCCTTCACCTCAACCACCGCCCTCCTCTCTCTCTCTCCTCCCGCACGCCGCATGCTTTCCACACATCTCCTTCCAAGCCCAGCACTCTCTGCCAAAGCCACAGGCATCCTTAATCGCAAGCAGACATCATCGCGGGCTGATATCTGCCGCCAGCTAGAGACGATGGAGAAGCCGCCCTCCCCACGGCGCCCCCTCCCCCTCGCATTGTTTAAAGTTCGGAGCCTCTCCAGCGGGCGGTGGCACAGGACGCCGCGACACGAACGAGGGGCGACTACGTCTGGCAGCCCCCCGCCCCCCCTAATCGCGCCCCCCACGCCACTACTACCCCCCCCCCCACCAAATACAATCGCATCATGGAGCTTGTAGGGGCTGCTCCCCGCGGGACAGACGCTGCCGCTTGCCTCGTGTGACCCCCACCACCACCACCACCCAGCCAACTCGCGGCCCGAGTCGCCCCGTGCGTTCTGACAATCACCATCATCACATCATCATCACACCATCATCATCACATCGTCCCACCGTCCGTCGTAAGTCACCCTGCAGTGATGACGATCGCGCTGTCCGCGATGCTGGCGGTCGCCGCCTGGGCCGCCGTGGGGCCCGCGGGCTCGGCCCGCAGAGGGGACGCGTGGCGCCACGACCTCCTGCAGGCGGACCACACCGAGCTGCGACTCTCCACCCTCGAGGTTCGCCGCCCGGGTCCCACTCGCAACCGTCACCCGCGATGACAATTCGACTCGCGAATCCGCGTCTCTTTTACACTTCGGCGCGATAGTCACCATGCTCTTGTATATCTGATTTTATGTTTCTGTAACTTGATTGTAAATGTTATTACAACCGATCGGTCTCAGCAATAGACGCCTTACGGCTGCAGGGAGTTTGTGTTCCACTATTTAACATCGACTATGTCCGCGCGGCATTCTCCGTTTGTCGCGCGACGCAGTTCTGCCTCCGATTCTTAATTGATTCGCTGCTGTGCTTGTTTAACCTTCGTCATGTTGGTGACCCAGGCTCACTCTTACTCTATCCCCGTCTCTTTGATTTCGCAAGCTGGTGACACAAAATCATCTGAAGACTTAGACACGAGTTGGTTCATGGCGCCGCCTCTGCAGCCACTCGACGCGCTAGGATTAGGACATTCGAGGGGAATCGTCGATTCCCGAGCCGAGTGGCACGATCCTGATGGCCGTATTCTTAGCCCACGACTCGGCTCAGTCCCGAGCCGCTCAGCTGTTTCTAAGGACGCCCGACTGAGTGGCTCGGCTCAGACTCGGCTCATGGAAATTCTGAGCACGGTTGGAACAATGCTGACAGCGCCGGAACTAAAACGAGTACGAACAAACGATGTTTATTTTGATTTGAAGCATTCGTGACTGCAGGAATCTATACTCTTTGGTTCTTTCGGTAAAATTACCTAAATAACCAAAGAGTATGATTATTTTACCAGGTAAGGCCCTCTGAGCTATACGGCTCTTTTTCAGAAGCGAAGTGGCCCATCACGTGGAAATGTATAACCGCCAAACACTTTAAACGCGTGTTTCTAAATGTGGAGGGGACAATCGGAGGACCCGGAAAAAAATCCACGTGACCACAGGGAGAGAGACACGCAAACTCCAAAAAATACAGGCGTCAGGGTCAGGATCAAATCCGCGACCTTCTGTATCAAGTTAAGCGTGGCTTTGAGCAATGACTCACTTGGGCCAGAACCCGGCCTGAGCCGAGCCGTGGCTAAGAGTCAGGTCCTGGCTCGTGTGCTTGGGGCGGCGTCCGGGAGACACCGGGCAAGGCCATGGTTGTGCAGGGACCGTCTTGAACAAGGAGTCTTGAGACTCAGAGAGGCTTTCCTGAATTCATGAAGTCAAAGTGATTTACTGCTCGAATGAGCATTGGTGCGGTGCTTTTTCATGTTTACAGCCCAGAGCCAGTGGTGGAACTCCTCACTCCTATCGCGGGAGCGATTGTCTGCGTAGGTCAACCACTGTTGACTTCCCCCCACAGCCTCCTACTCACTCTATGATGGGCTGAGTCAACCCCAGCGTTTGAACTCGCGACATTCGCCCTGCCGCTGAGCCACGTGACCTGTTCATGAAGTGCGCCGGTCCGATCTTTGTTTACTCCGTTTCCAGGAACTGTGTGGGCGGTCCAGTTGAATCCGTACCTTCGAGTCTAAACCTTGACCATTGTTAGTGTCAGAACAACACAGTAGCGAGGCGATTTCATTATTTACCGAATCTCTGGCTACGCAATATGCCCGATCGTTTGGACAGCGGTGCTCTCTCTCTGGTCAATGTGATTTAATTATCCGCGTGCACGCTCGGACCCGATAGCAGAGGTCGAGAATAATGACGGAGTCGCAGCGATGCAATCAACGGGAAGGTTCGCGGGGTGGCGAGGAGATGATGGCGGCCTGGGGAGGCATTCTTCATCCAGCAGTGGATTTATCGTGGCTGCTGCTAATGATGATGATGCTCGTATAGTATACTCACATATATTGGTTAAGTGGGCATGCTCAGGATAGGTTCAAATATCACTCGCCACTGATCAGCCGTGGCCAGGAATGTAACCTACGTCGCCAGGTTCACAGCGCGGTGCGCTAACCACTGCGCCACCGCTCCGTCGGGTAAATTGATGCTGCGGCGCTGAATTGAATCCACGGGGGGGGGGGGGGATGGGTTTTGGTTTAGGCGTCGAGTGGCCCGGCCTCCATTGGCTGCACAGCCTCCTTGCTCAGTAGGCGAGTCACACACGCACTCGCTCGCACGCGCACGTGCGCACACTCGCAGGCACGTAGACACGCGCGCGCACGTGCACACTCGTACACGTGGAAAGGAGCTGTGAGGACCAGAGGTGCACGCAGCGTTGGGGGGAAAATAATCCGTTGCACCCGGTCATCTCCCTCTGGCATCGTTAAAGAGCCCATCATCCCGCCGGGGTCGATACAATTGGTACCATTCTGTGGGGAAGTCAACAGTGGTTGTCCTATGGATAAACTCACCCGCTTCCACAGGAACGTGAATTTCCACCACTGTCTCAGGTCCGTAAACAGGAGGTGAGCACCGCTGCCTGAATGCTCATTTGGTCCGGAAATCGCTTTCTCTTCATTGTGTGTGTACGTTGAACTTCTTTAGCACCGTACGTAGCCAACCGTGCTAATAGGAGATGCGGGGCAAGGAACCATCGTGAATGTTTACCTCTGGGGGCGCCACTGATGTGGGCCGCGGAGGACGGAAGGGCGGGGGGGGGGACTGAGCAGGAGGCAGCGGGGGATGGTGGCTCGGTGCTGGTGGCGGGGGGAGCGCTCAGGGGGGGGGCGGTATCCCCACTGCCCCCACCCCTCCCCCGCGCCCCCCCCTGGGTTAGGTCGAGGGGCTGCCGCCGCGTGTGCGAGCGGCCAATGTAAATAATTGAACGCCTCGCAGTCGCCCGGGCGACGCGGATTCCGTCTCCCATTGGCTGCGCCCGCCGACCTTGGTGCTGAAAATTTGGGGGGCCCGGGGGGGGGGGCTCTGCCAAGGAAGAGATGTTATTTTCCATGCCCCAGAATAACCCCGCTTCGAAATTAAATACTGTGGTTTATATATTTATATTATATATATATACTATCTCGTATACCTGAGCTCCCTTTGGTGCAGAGATCATTGCTTCATCTCGAATCACGCCACGGGCCATCATTCCAATGTGTTGGGTGAGTTCCACTGCGTGGGGAAGCCAGAATTGGTTGTCCTGTTGCTGGAATCGACACCCTCCACCATGGGAATTTGAGAATTGCCGCCACCGGCTCAGGGCTATAAACGGGAGATGAGCACTGACATAATGCTCCTTGTAGTTGGAGATCGATGTTGGCTGCGATGCCACTAAAAGATGCACAGAGAAGCGTGGAGATGTTCACGCGGGGAATCGCACCGAGGGACAGGAAGAGGAACACGTGGATTAGACGGCGTACGCCAGATGGAGACGCCATCGCATTGACCGTTAAGAAAAATGGGACTTGGGTAGGGCGCGTCGCTCGGGTGGTGACCGGTGGTCGAGTCTAGCGACCACAGAGCGGCGGCGAAAGGAAGGGACCGTATTTGAGAGGGGACGTCCTTTGTGGAGATGGAGCGATGATGCCGCCTTGTGTGCAGGTGCTCGGTGAACTCTTGCATCGCAGAACTGTAATGGATGGGAACCATGCAGCAGTGCATAGATCACGTCTGATGCTGATGGCCACGATGAGTGGCTGTGGAAACGAGCGCACGTGAGCCTCAGTGTCAGCCTGCCCCCGTGTCTCTGGGTGTTCACCCTGCCCCCGTGTCTCTGGGTGTTCACCCTGCCCCCGTGTCTGGCGTAGGACCGACTGGACAAGGTCTACCAGGATGTGGACACGGTGGTGCGGCAGTACCGCGACTTCGAGGTGGAGATTCTGTCTCGCCTCGAGAGGATGTCCCACGAGGCCCAGCACGGCAACCACTGGTGGGACGGCATGCAGGTAACCACACGTGGCAGGCAACCACACGTGGTAGGAAACCACACGTGGCAGGTAAGCACACGTGACAGGTAACCACACGTGGCAGGCTGGGAACCACACGTGACAGGCCGGGAACCACACGTGACAGGCTGGTAATCACACGTGGCAGATGGAGATGGCGCAGGTGAATTAATGAACGCCGAACGCGTGCCTCTGCCAGCCAGTGCCTCGGCGCTCAATCTGCATCCGCGTTTCGTGTCAAAGGTAACGCACGCGAGCGGGGCACCCGCAGGCCGTTCCTATTTCAAACGAGCTCGGCGGCACACGGGAAGAGAGACGCGGAGGCCGCCGTGGGGAACACGACACGCAGAGGCCGCCGTGGGGAACGCGACGCGCGGGCTCGCTGACACGGGCACCCGGAATCCCACGGCGTGGCTGCTCGTCAGCTGCGTCAGCCGCGCCGTCGACTGCCGCACAGCAACTTTTTGCGTGGATGCACATCGGAATTGTAGAGCACAGATGGTGCGCTGAGAGCTGTCACTGCGGGAGGATAACAGATGAGGTGGCTGGGTGGCTCAGGTGGTTCCCAACGGACGTGTCCCAACTCACCGAACCGGCACCACTCGATGCAGGTTTCAGCCGGCCGTGGTTAATCCGGGTCCTCGAGTGCGGCGAGTTGATGGTCTCATCCCGGTGACCCAACGACTGCACGAAATGTTTTCTTAGAATTCGTGTGCAGCTTCGTGTAGGCGATTTGAGTTATACGAGTGGGACATCTTGGATTGATTTATATGCGGTAATCACTCTTTGCAGAGCACAAAGAGGATGTGTCCCGAGTGTGAATGAAGAGGCCTGCTGAGTGACTTCCTCATTTCAGCCGAGTCTGTCCACGATGGCGACCACATCCGGGACACCACATCCAGTATACTTTACTTTCTGCAATGGCTATGGCGACGACGAGTCACGTGTCACCTGCTGCAGTCTACCAGTGACCCAACACATATTTAGTGATAACAAATCATTAGTAAGCCCTGCGCATAAGTAAACGTTAAACATCATATGTTAGGGTCGTTGTCTAGCACTGTGGCCACAAGTGAACATTCCACATTAAAGGGAATCAAGCAGAATGTAAACAGCAAAATAATCACCAAGGGGAGGCGCAAATTAACGCGACAATCCACGGTGCATGGTGTGCAGGCCAGGTGAGTGAGTTGACCCACGGGGCGTGATGAGCAGGCCAGGCGAGTGAGTTGACCCACGGGGCGTGGTGAGTAGGCCAGGTGAGTGAGTTGATGCACGGTGCGTGTAGTGCAGGCCAGGTGAGTGAGTTGACCCACGGGGCGTGTAGTGCAGGCCAGGTGAGTGAGTTGATGCACGGGGCGTGGTGTGCAGGTCCGGCTGAGTGAGTTGACCCACGGGGCGTGGTGAGCAGGCCAGGTGAGGGAGTTGATCCACGGTGCGTGTAGTGCAGGCCAGGTGAGTGAGTTGATGCACGGGGCGTGGTGTGCAGGCCAGGTGAGTGAGTTGACCCACGGGGCGTGGTAAGCAGGCCAGACGAGTGAGTTGACCCACGGGGCGTGGTGAGCTGGCCAGGCGAGTGAGTTGATGCACGGGGCGTGGTGTGCAGGTCCGGCTGAGCGAGTTGGAGAAGGCGATGGAGGGAATGGACAAGAAGACAAACTGCGACGATGTTTGCCGGTCACGTGCTCGGCCGGACGACGCCGGGAAGCCGACGTCACGGGGGAGCGGCAGCGGCTCTCCGGCGCCGCGCCAGGAGCAGAGGCTGCACCAGCAGAGTCCGGGGCAGGGGGGAAAAGTGCAGGGGGGCAGCGTCTCCCTGTCCGGCCTCACCATCAAGCTCGGCTCACCCACCAAGGCCGAAGGAAAGTTTGCAAACACGACGCTCGTCGGACCGGCAGACGTTGCTAAGAGGTTTGGGGCTGCGTTTTGCGGTGTCTCTGTGCACGATTCATCGACCCTAATAGATCGTTAGCACGCTAGGCGCGATGCGTATCGTGTGGTAGAGTTCACTCGACAAGACGCAAACGGTCGGCTCGCGTTACGCGAGGCAGTAAAAACGCGACAACACAAACGAGATTGTAAAATGAGATAATAACAACGCATTATTGAGTCAGATTGTCACCCTGAATCTAGGCCATTCGGGGGACGGCTTAAGGAGAGACTCGCCCAGATGTCCAGAGCAAACTGCGGACCTAACTCGCGACTGACAGCAGATGCTGTTGTGGGGGAAACAAAATCTGACAATCCACTGCTCCTTTTCCTGTTTGGTTGATCATATTTTGTGGTTTGTGTACAAAAAATGTTTAAAAGAAAAAAAATGTCCCTGCCCACTAATAAATCGGGCTCTATTTGTGTTCATTATCCATCGTCGAGTCGATAGACGTCTAGGCGCGCTTCTGCGATTCCCAGATCAAATCAAGATTGATTCCCAGATTGTTGATTTCCGTCTCGCGCATCTGCCTCTACACACTTGTGGTTCCCGCTGCGCGACGTGCTCCTCATTCCCTTCGCGTCCGCAGCTCTGCGACCCAGAAGCTGCGGTCGGGCCCAGGATCGACGGGCAAGCAGCCCGCCACGGCCTCGTCGCCCGCCATCCGCATCCGCCTCGCCTACAAGCGGGACTCGGGTAAGCGCAGCGCCTGCGGTGGGGGGGGGGGGGGTGGTGGTCGCGCGCCCCCGAGCCCCGAGCGCGCCTCGGACGCGCTCTCCCAGGGCTCCGCGAGGGCGCGCTCAATTATTTACTGCGCGCGAAACGTCGTTGCCGTTTGCCGCCAGCCCCCCCCACCTCCGCGCGAGTGACAGGCGGCGCGAACGGCGTCACATTCGTGGTTTTTTTTGCCGAGGGAGGGCGGCCACTTTTATCGTCGAGGTCGGCAGGTCATCGCGATCGGCGCTGTCGATGTCACGACCCTTCGCCATCATTTCCTTTCCTCTGCGTCAACACATTCTGATGTCGACTGTAAAACCAGTAACCGGGGAGGGACAATGTGCCGCAGTTGTTAAACGCATACACACATTATACAAATGCAAAGGTCCCCCATATAGCCTATACAGGATGTAGGGGCAAGTGCTGTTCGCGAGCACCTATTGAGACTGCTATGGCCCACAACGGGGTGGTGTGGAACGGAACCACACGCGGTCGCAATTGTTTCCCCAGTGCTGGTGTGTTTCACACCACACCAGGTACTTATTTAAGTCTGACTTGACCTAGGCGAGGGCCAGGACCGGTTCAAATTTTGCCACTTTATGGGTCGTGAGAAGGGTTTCTAGTGCAGTGCACTGACCACTTCGTCATCGCTCGCCATACAAACAAATGTCTCCACATACGTAATGGGTACACACATACATACAAACAAAGATCAAATATCCCCCGTGTAACCACACGGACTGGTGCGGCAGGTGCTGTGAGTGGCCACCAACCCCACCTGTGCATCACCGACATTCGCAGTCGCGCGCCGCGGTCTAAAACGCGAGACCAAACTGAGTGCGTCAACCCCGGCCTTACAGAGTGCAACGTGACGCTGGCGAGCGTCAAGTCGGTGAAGACGGTGAAGCGCTGGGGCTCGCCGCACGGCGCGTGGCTCAAGGACCCCGCGGTGGACGTCCACCGCCTCTTCCTGTTCGACGGCACCGAGGGCGGCACCGCCACCGCCTACGCCAGCACCAAGGCGTTCGCGGGCCTGCACCGGGGGGCCACCGCCACGCGGCCCGGCCAGCGGCGGCAGCAGGGGGAGGCGGAGGCCGCGACTGGGGAGCTGCTGCGCCTCCCGTCCGGTTGGCGCGGCACGGGCGCCGTCGTGTACGCCGGCTCGGTCTACTACCACCGGCGCGACAGCACCAACGAGATCCTGCGCTACGACCTGGCCAAGAGGTGCGAGCGCCGCCGTGCTTGGTGTCACCGACGCGTCAGGATCCTGTGCGCTGTGCCGCTCTCCCCTCGTGCCATCGCGTCGTTCCCTCGCGATGACCTCGATATTGAGCCCTCCTTAAGAAGCTCAGACAGCACGTGGAGCCAAACGTCGGCTATCGGTGGCGAACGACACGCGGCAGGACCCAAAAGCGCATCGGAGAGCTGTAGAGCAGCACAACCGCGAACATTCACATTGCGAGATTGAAATGCTGTGTGTCGTGTTGAGGTTTATGATATTGTTGAAGTTAGATTTTGGGGCACAACCGGTGTTTAATCTCTCAGCAGATTTTGTTTTGGCTAGCTGGAAGACTCGAGTCGGTGGCACGCAGCGAGCAGCCACGGCCATAGCCAGAGGCATGGTGGATGTGGCGTGCCAGGTGCCGATATCGTTTTTGTGTTGCTGTCCTGTACACACCCGGCTGAAGTTAAGCTCTGGGTTTAACCGTGGCTGTAGTGAGTGATAGAGCACTGCTCTCTAAACCACGAGATCATAGTTTGATTTCTGGCGGGGGACGAGATTTCTCAACCAGCCCTAGGCCTTCCTCCCTTTACCACCACGCACCGACGAGGGCGATAAGCCACGGGCAAACAGACACCGAACACGGACACGGCGTGAGAAGGCCTTCATCCAGCAGTGGAGTGACAAGGAACTGTAATTATCGTGAGAGTTACGGGCAGACTTGCACCCATTAGAGGAATGTGGAATTTCCACAATTGGCATATAGCCTTGACTTAAAGCTTTCGTGACTGCAGGAATTCATATTCTTTGGGTCTTTCGGTAAAGTCACGAAGAACAAAATGTCCTGGATGTTTTGTTATACGTAACTTTACCGAAAGACCCAAAGAATATGGCATATAGCCCCCAACAGAGATGATCATTGCACATTTTTAGCTGTTCTGATTTTTATTTGTTTGTTTTTTTCTCTCATTTCCATTTTCTTCCTTTTTCTTGTTTCTTTGCGATTGCATTTCTCGTTTCGGTGCCCCAGGTCACTCTCGCTATTGAGACTCTGTCCTGGTCTCTAGGGTTCCCACCATGGTCACACAATACACTTGAAACATGGAACTACACGGTTAGGGTTAGGCGCGATCGCTATGGTTAGGCATCGTATTGATAATTTTGATCACGGTCAGAAATATCTGTCCGTGCGTCACCGTGAGAGAGCTTTCAGCGCACGAGGCGCTCGGCTCATAACTCACGTCCCCCCCCCCCCCCCACGTGGCCCCTCCATCCCCGTACCTCTCCCCGTCCGTATGCCTCCCACGAGCCTCCATCCCCCCGTGGCCCCTATCCCCATGTGCGGCCCCCTTCCTCCCACGCATCCCCCGCCCCTCTCCCACCCCTGCATCGCCACCCCCAACTCTCCCCTTCCCCCCCCCCCGCTCCACTCCCCCCGCGCAGTGCGGTGATTGGCCGTGTTCTCGTGCGCGGAGCCGGGAGGGTCCCCGTGTACGAGCTCGCCCCCTTCACGGCCATCGACCTCGCAGTGGACGAGCACGGGCTCTGGGCGCTGCACGCGGTGCCCGCGGAGAGCGAGGACGACGACGACACCCACACGGATGGTAACGCCGCCGCGACGCACACAAGAGGCAAAGGTCCCCCCGTGTGGCTCACACGGGCTGCTAGGGCAAGTGTCGTTTAGCGGGCATCTGTGAAGGCCGCAACGGCGCACGAGGAAAGTGGTGGTGGTGGCCAGCACCACGCTTGACCGCCTTTGTCTTCCCCCCCACCCGCATCCACCAAGAGGAGTCCCCACGTGGTCAGTAGATGGCAGTGCTGAGTTCATCCCTCATGCATGGACTTTCTTACCTCTCAGTGCAGGGCCCTCGTGAGAAAGGAGTTGACGCTCAACGAAGCTTTGGTAGCAAAATATATGACAGTATTATTATCATGGCGATTTGTTTAGGGGCTCCTTAGTCTCATCGAAAACACATCAAACATCCAAGACATTGCAATAAGTAGCCAATCAAAGGCGTACCCACCAGCGTGGCATTGTGGGTCTCTTCAGCACGAAACGGGGTGGCAACTCGGGCCTCGCTACAAACCGTCTCCAGTGGCTCTTCCACGCGTCTCCGGGTCGCGCCACGTGCACGCTGTCCGACGTTTCCTTACACGCTCCGAGTGTTTCTTCAGGAACTGGCAATCGAAGAGAAGCTGACCAAACACGCGGGTCAACCTAAAACAAACAGTTCCTGAGGAAGCTCCCAGGACGTGGAGCGAAACGTCGGACATCGTGCCAAACGACTCGAAAACACGTGAAATCTGGGGAAACGGAAAATAATAGTCAGATTTTAAAAGGTAAAAAAATATATTAAATTCACGACACGCTCGCACAGCGACTGGGGCTGCCACTGGGTGACCTTGCAGGTGCGTGGGCTTGAACCCTGCACGTCTCGCACTGCATAGCGCAGAGATTCCTCGCTGCCATCATGGGGACCCTTACCTAGGAGGTGAGCCCCCACGGGTGCTTGAGGGGGCCCTTCTGGTCGGAGTGACGCGCGGGGCCCACAGTCCCCTCGAGCCATGGATGGGGCTCGTGGCTGAGTGGGCGCGGCTGGCGGAGGGAGTGTACGGGGACTCCTCTACTTACGAACGAGTTAGGTTCCAGAGGTATGTTCGTAAGTCGATTTGTTCGTAAGTCCAACTTTACGCCTGTCGATTCCAAACATGTTGTACGGCGTGTGCATTAAACACGGGGAATGGATTTAAACGTTGTATAATCTCCTGTAGATGCCACTGATTTTGATAACGAGCCAGACGCTGAGCACGCATCCCTGCTGAGGCTCCCAGAAAGTGGTTATCGGTCGGCAGCAGCCCTCACACGAGGGCCCCCTTCATCTCCTTCTTCCGCGACCCCCACCGCAGGAGACGACGGCGGCGATGAGCCGGAAGGTGGCGGAGACCTCGTGCTGTCCAAGCTGGACGCCAGCTCCCCGGCGGGCGGGCTGCGCGTGGAGGCCAGCTGGCGCACCCCGTGCCCCAGCCGCGGCGCCCAGGCCGCCTTCGTGGTGTGCGGGAGCCTGCACGTGGTGTACGCGGCGACGCGAGACCGCGGCGCTCCCTGGGTCGCCTGCGCCTTCGACCCGGAGGCGGCCACCACGGGAGGGGGCGGTGGAGTTGGCGACCGGGCGCACCTCGTGCCCTTCCCGGCGCCGACCGCCGGCGCCCCGCCGCTGTCCTCGCTGCACTACAACCGGCGCGAGCGGCAGCTCTACGCCTGGGCCGACGGCTACCAGGCGCTGTACAAGCTCGGCTTCGCCAAGAAGACGGGGCTGTGAGCGTGCGGCCTGCGGGGGGCGTGGATGGCGCGACTGCTCGTGCATCTGCGTGGACCGTGGGGCCCCGCACGAGGAGTCGGTAGCGTAGCCACGGAGTGTACAGGCGGTGCAGCTGCACCAGCGCCCACGGGCCGGCTGGAGACAAAGACGGGGGGGAAGGCAGGGACAGAGTGCTGGACTGGGGGGCCTCGTGTCTTTCCTTTCACCGTGCTCCCCCACCCCGAGTGCCAGCAATCGCCTCGGCAAGGACTCTCCGTGCTGCGCGGTGTGAGAGGCGCCAAGTGAAACCTCGCATCGCCCTGCGGCACCGCCAGCAGCTGTGCGAATGTGATGTTTATTTTTATCTCGTAACATTTTTTAAAACTTTTGTAATCTTAGGTTCCTTTTATATTTGTCCCCCGATTTCATCCATCTCCGTTGCCAATAAAACTCACGAGGAGCAGAAGAAGAAGAATCTCTGCAGACCTCTCGCAGGGCGGTGTCCGAGTTACAGGGGAGAGGGGTGGGGTGCAGGGCCGGACTGCGAGGAGGGGGGGCACCCAGGGGCTGGCGCCCACGGGGCCATTGGAGCTGCACGGTCTCCCCGCCCCGCGTCTCTCCACGCGACTCGCGCAGCCCTTGCCGCCCTCCTCCCCCACCCCCTCGTGCGTTCTTGTTCACAATTCACCTCCCCCCCCCCCCCACAGCTGAATTCAAAGCTGTGCGTTCACACTCTGTATGCAAATGTTGGGCTTTATCCGCATTAAAGGATTCATAAAAGAGAGAAGTGGTTAGCTCGCCGCACTCGGAAACCGGCAACCCGAATTTGATTCCCGGCCACGGCTCACATCCGTGGCGTGTGCCATCACACGCGCTCCAGCTCCTCCCTCACCCGTTCCCAACCCACACTGGCCCGTGTGGTGAAGTATGGCCGACATGGCGAGGTGGATGGGGAGCGGCTGGGATTTGTATTTCGCCGTTCACCCCCCATTCTGCCCCCTTCCTGCCACGCGTTGTTTATTGTCGATGCTTATTCGTCTGGATATATTTCGAGTGTACCGTCTTTGTATCGGCCCCGTCTCCGTACAGCGACGAGGTTTTGATTTCCTGCGATTAAAGATAGGGAAGCCTTTCAGCTGGTCAGCACGTGGTTATATTTTACCACCGCGCGCGGCACAGCATCGGCGGACGCCGGCTCTTGTGTGCGCGTGCATGCGCGTGTGTGTGCATGTGCGTGTGTGCATGCTTGCGCGCATGTGTGCGTGCGCATACGTGTATGTGCATGCGCGTGAGCACGTGCGTGAATGTGTGCGTTGCGTGTGCGCGCGTCCACGCACATGTGAAAAACAAGGGGCGCAGCCACTGCGCGTGTCCTGCGGGTTCCGACGCCCCCGCAGTGTATATCGATGGCTAAGGGGCACCCGCAACGCTTCAGACAAAAAAAAACACATCCACGGCCATTCTGAGTCGGTGCTTATCCCCCGTCAGCAAGGCGACGTCGACGCCGAGTCGGTGCTGGCCACGGAACGCTCCAGTACTCGGAGTCCCGAGCCAGGAGTTACGTGGCTTGACGTCATCGTCGTCATACAGCCGAGATAATCGCTGTCCTCGCATCAGCAATAAGTCAGTCGGTGCTCATCTCCTGTTTTGTCGTCCGGAGACAGTGGTGAACATTCCACATTCCTATGACGGGGGAGAGTCTCTCCCGAAGGACAACCACCGTTGGCGTTTACCACAAGTGATGCTTGTTTTATCGACTCCCGAGAGATGATGGGACGTGAACTCGAAATCGTTCGATTGCGAGCGGCTCGCTCTACCGCTGAGCCAAGTGGGTAGAAGGGTAGAGCGGAAACAACTCCTCTGGTCCCACGGACCCCCACGGACCCCATCTGTAGTCGCTCGTCGGGCACCCCAACCTCCCCGGGTGTGGCTGATCTGCCACTCGGCGCGTGCTCCCACGCACTCCGCCGGGCCACTCGCGGCGGCGAGTCACCAAACACCCGGCTATAAATTCCGCGTATGCGCCGTAAATATTCCACGCAGTGCAGCATGCACTTACGTTTGTTTATTTATTTCCCTTTTTGATTGATCGCTTTTGTTTACCCAGGGAAGCCTCGCTGAGTCGGTACGACGCGAACACATGTCGGGGAGACGTGGGGCACGACCGCGATATCCAACGCGGGGATTTCGCTGCTATTTCGTCCCATCGGGAGACGCGCACAGCAACAACATACACACATATCATGTAATCATAGCACTGCCCTGCCGTTGGTGTTGGGGCCGGTTCGCCGCATCGCTGCCTTCGCGAGTGTCTGTGGTTCCTCCTGACGCCTCTGATTCGAACTATCTATAGGAGATTGAGCGCGTTTCAAAGTGGCATTGTTTTGATTCCCGGAGGCGGTGAATTCGCGGTGTTTATGTTTCAAACCCCTGCCACGCGTTCGCTCCCTCGCGCTGGAGCAGGAGAGGTCCCCGTGGGCCAAACTGTGGGGGCAGCGAATCAGGCGTTTATTTACATCACAGCGGTGTTCCTCACGACACGTTGAAGATCTACACAGCCACTGGTGGCCTTATGTAGATTACCAACTCAAAAGAACTGAAGGTGTGGCAATCCCGCCAGCCAGCAGCAGTGAGAGACAGACACATCAGCTGTGATTCGTTCGCAGCCTGCATAAAACGTTCTTCCGTGATGGGCTTCCTCGTTCAGCAACTCCGATTAGCACGGTTGGCTACGTACGGTGCGGGAAAAAAGTTCAACATACGAACGTTTGCCGATTAGCCTCGGTATTGTCTTTAGGAACCTGGGGTCCATGGCGGTCGACGGGCGAGTTGTCTCGTGAAGAGGCCGCAGGCGAGCGACTCTGACGGCGTCGCACTGCGAGTGTCCCGAGTTGCCGGCGGCGAGCAAGCGCGTGGCGACGAGTTGACAGCAACACCACCGCTCGCTCCATCACCGCCCCGTCACTCGGCGAGCCGCTGACAACGCCACAAGCGGCACGCTCGTCAACAGCAGTGTGGCCTTCGAAATGGCAAGAATATAGTCGCTGACGTTTCGAGCAATGGCCCTCCACAGTACAGGGAGGCCTTTCTGTACTGCGAATAAATTGTGACAGATGCGGATACCTGATTATGATGATTTATGTTGGACTTCTTTCGCACCGTGCGTAGCCAACCGTGCCAATCGGAGGTGCGGGGGAAGGACAACAAACATGATGATGCATGAATAGAACATTAACCTCCGGTCAGTATGCGGAGATTTTGGTCACTACCCAGAAAAGAATCGTTGAACCTATAACGAGACGTCACCACAGCGATGATCCATCACTCCACTACTCCTGACGTCACCATCTAGCTCAACCACCTCAGTGGACAATTTAATCATTTTGCGGGACCCCGGGGTCCCGCAAAAATCAGGTCAATAATTATTATTTTTCAGTCCGGCCACTCGTGATCCCAACAGCAACGCGCCGCTCGCCCAGACTGGCGCCAACAAGCGCCAGCAGTTGACGATCGACACGATGGGCGCCACCCCACCAGCCAAACGCAAGCCCGGGGGCGTCCGCCGCAGTCGCGCGCGGCGACGACGCCCTCCGGTCAGTCGTCGATCCTCAGCTTCTTTGCCAAGGCGAGCCTGCCCCCCAGGCAGTGAATTTAACGTGTTTGTGTAATTTTTCAACTTTTTACGAAACTTAGTGCCCCGAGTAGCTCTCGATGAGGCCAATCGATTGACACTAGTTTTGTTGTCGGTAAGGCAAGACTCGTGTCGCTACGCGGTTTTTCCCACCCCAGGGCAGTGATGGGACCCCGGGGTCCCGCCAATTGCTTCAATTCCAGCCGCTGCTCTAAATCAACTTGAGGTGTACGAAGAAGACTGAAAAAGGGCCATTGCCCGAAACGCCACCTGCTATGTTCTTGTGATTTTGATGGCCACAGTACTACTGACGACCGTGTTGCGTTTTGTTGTTTTAATTAACACCATCGCTAGTAGTGACCTGCACCACACACATTTCACACGCAAACAAACGGATACTATTCAGCATTAACACTGCTTTTTTAAAAAAAATTGCCAATTATATCGATATATTCCATGAAAGGCCACACAGTAATTATTGATGAATACGTTGAGTGTTGTTGTTGTTTGTGATTGTGCACCACCACGGCCAACGCAGCAGCAGCATCACCAAAGCAAGCGCCTCTCTCCGCCACTGCCCTCCGCGAGCGCTCCCCGGGCGCTGTCCGCCCCAGCAGTCGGCGCGCCAGCGGAAGAAGCGCGCGGGGTCAAAATGGTCGCGAGGTGTGGGTGAGGACGGACGGGTTCACATCCCCGGGGTTTAATTAATTAATCAACCCACCGCCACCGCTATGCTCCACTGTAAGGAAGCGGCGGCTGTGTGCTTTCGTTGTTTACCCCGACCTCAAACAACCCTGCGCCCCGCCGTACCCGCGTGCGTGTGGATCGGGGAGCGGTAGTGTAGTGGTCAGCGCACTGCTCTACAATCTCGGCGATCTGAGGCCAATGCCAGTCAGTGTCTGAACTAGTCCTGGCCCTCGCCCAGGTCGACTCAGCCTTAAATGAGTACCTAGAGCAGTGCGTAAACATCAGCAAGAACTGCGGAGAGGTAGACAACCTGGCGTGGTACAACACCAGCTCCTCTCGCGTCGTGCCGGCCTTCATTATAGGTGCTCGCGAACAACACGTTGCCCCAGCAGGCTGTTTAGGCTATACGGGGGATCTTTAACTTTGTGGCAGTCTCAGGAGCGTGTTTACTCAGTTGTGAGACGTGATACACAAACAATGATTTACACACTGCCTCCTTCCTGCTATGCCAGAATTCATAACCACGGTCATTAACAACACAAGAAAAGAACTCCATGCATACGCATTGCTTCTGTACTGCTGCCCAACATGACTCTAGTGCTCGGAAGCATGCCTTCAATATTAATGATAATGAATTGATGCCTGTTATACCCATTAGCGAGGTGTTTCCTTGGGATTACATCGAGAGCCCATGAGGGGCTGATGGTGAAAAATGACGGTCTTGCAGCCAAGGAATGGAATGTATCTGAGAGGACGTCTGCCGCGGCGACTGGACGATGGGAACAGTTCGTGTGCAGGTGGATTGTTGCGTCACGGGGAGTTCGAGTGATGGCGGTCGGTTGGGGAGGCTTTCATCCAACAGTGGATTGACCATGGATGATGATGATTATCCATCCAATACTGGATGACATTCTCCCCACGCTAGAGGGACCCACGTGTACAAGCGCAGCCATTGTTTAAACCCACTGCTGCTCCGTACGGGTTGGTGAATGTGTTGGGGGGAGTGGGTGCGTTGTGGGATTATTGCCCACAACGCCTGCTGGTCGTCCATCCAAGCACTGTCCAGGCCCCCATACCTGCTTAGCTTCTGAGATGACGCCGAGATCGACCGCACCCTGGGACATTTGGTGCTGGCCTCATAGGCGCAGGTGGCGCGTGTGATCGAAATGGGAACGTTTCCAACGTCGGGGCCGACTCTGTGTCCGTATACGATGTAGACATTCCATGGTAAGCGTGACTATCACAGACCTCCACGTGTGAGTCCTGTCAGTGCGTATGTGGTGTGTGTGTGCCGCGTCGCGGTGATGGCTATCCATAATAGAGTTATTTGTTTAGTTATATCGCGTAAATATAAATGTGTCGTTAACCCCGACACAGCCAATTAGGAAGGTGTTACGCGATCTAACCCAACAACCTCGACTGTGGATACTATTTGGTCGCGAAAGCCTCCTGCTGCGTGTTAGACTGACGATGGCTGTGCTGCACGTTGCTGCTGCCAGTAATCCAGCGCTGTGGAGGCAGCAGCAAGGGTTGGTGGATCACACACAGATGTTTGCGAAACTCCATTCCCCTGGGTGTCGAGGAGGTAAGTGCCATATCTTGCCTGGCTCGCCAAGAGAAAGTGCTCCGGCAAAGTGCGGACTTATATCATCTGTTCTACCTGTATGGGATAGAGTGGTTGATCCCTCGTACGCGTAGCTTTTATTCTTGGTACTCCGGTTTCCCCACACGCGTAGACAATAAAAATGGGGCACGAGCTGGGGAAGTATGGAAATGAGCATGGGAGAGCATGCGTGCTGGGAATTTACGCTGAGAGC